AGTAGCGGTAGCCTTCTGTCAATAAGCCACCTGAGCGGAGACGCCAATCACTTGGATTCCAACTAGTGAATCACGGGAATCGGGTTCACTAGTCTCTCCGGCTAACATCTGGTCGGCTGCTAGTTTGACCCTTCTTTATTTTAAAGATATCATAACGTTTCCCTAGTTCACGAGACAAGATTATTTTATTGCGAAAATGACCAAGTATGGTGATGACTTATTGCAACGGTAATCCCCAAATGATGGATAATAGCAGTGTCCTTTAGACTTTAGAGTATTTGAAAGGCTAGCGATAAATCACAACTAAAACTAATAAAACCAATATGAATAAATACCGATAAAAAGCAACAAAATGTAATAAGCCTCTTCGGTTAGTTTGTCTCGTCCCTTTGGTTATGCTGCCAACCTGCCGCTGGGGCCATTATACTATTTATTACAGCCGTATAACCAACTGCAGGGGCGTGTACAGGGGGGGGGGGAATGCGCAGAAAACGCATCTAAGGGGGACTAATTTCAAAATTTTCCCGAGACCCCCCCTTCGCGTGCTTGCAAGTTTGGGTTACGGTTAGACCCCCCCCCCCTGGTACAAATCCTGTACACGCCCCTGAACTGTGCCGTGAGATATTCGCATGAATTTGAATGAACGGTTAGAGTTTTCATCATGGCAGCCGCGTACGTGTATGATTACTTTTGTTGACTACGTAAATGATTGACATTATATGCCTCGCCCTAATAAGGATATAGTTGGGGTGCGTGGCCCCTGTCTTTTAGTTACAGGTCATGGACGGCTAAAATTTCCATCCCGGCCGCGTACGTGGATATCTACTGTTGTTGCCTATATGTGAAGCCGCAACCCTCTCGGTATGCATTTATGGTAGGTGGAAGTGACACCCTCACACGCGCGCATCCAAGAAAGAGAGAGAGAGAGAGAGAGAGAGAGAGAGAGAGAGAGAGAGAGAGAGAGAGAGAGAGAGAGATCGAGAGAGAGAGAGAGAGAGAGAGAGAGAGAGAGAGAGAGAGAGAGAGAGAGAGAGAGAGAGAGAGAGACAGAGAGAGAGAGAGAGAGGAAGAGAGAGAGAGAGAGAGAGAGAGAAGACGAGAGAGAGAGTAGAGAGAGAAGAGAGAGAGAGAGAGAGAGAGAGAGAGCGAGAGAGGAGAGAGCGAGAGAGAGAGAGAGAGCAGAGAGAGATGAAGAGAGAGAGAGACGACCAAGAGAGAGAGGAGAGAGAGAGAGAGAAATGGAGAAAGAGAGAGAGAGAGAAGAAGAGAGAGAGAAGAGAGGAGAGAGCAGAGAGAGAGAGAGAGAGAGAGAGAGAGAGAGGAAGAGAGAGAGAGAGCAGAGAGAAGAGAAGAGAGAGAGAGAGAGAGAGAGAGAGAGAGAGACGAGAGAGAGAAGAGAAAGAGAGAGAGAGAGAGAGAGAGAGAGAGAGAGGAGAGAGAGAGAGAGAGAGAGAGAGAGAGAGAGAGAGAGAGAGAGAGAGAGAGAGAAGAGAGAGAGAGAGATGAGAGAGAGAGAGAGAGAGAGAGAGAGAGAGAGAGAGAGAGAGAGAGAGGAGAGAGAGCGGAGAGAGAGAGAGAGAGAGAGGAGAGAGAGAGAGAGAGAGAGAGAGAGAGAGAGAGAGAGAGAGCCGAGAGAGAGAGAGAGAGAGAGAGAGAGAGAGAGAGAGAGAGAGAGAGAGAGAGAGTTTCAGCTTACTGCGTAATAGCCTGTAATCCGTTTGGATGGTTCAGAGAAGACGGTCCGTGTCCCATGGCAGACATCTTCTAATGGCAACCGTCTTGTCTAACTGTGCGCATAGCGCATATCGCATGCGCATGGGAGTTGAACTTTATTGCCTATTCGTGATGTATTGAGAGCGTCTTTATTGGGGGAGGGGGGTTATCTACTATGCTATATACACCGGCGTTGTCAGACTCCGTGTGATTCCTCACATCGGCATAGATTGCTCGTGAACGCATGATAAGTGTCGTTGACAGCAGAGTCGATCGCACAAATGTCGGTGAAATCTCTTGCTGCTGCAGCAGCAAAGCCGTATATAAATAAGACGAGAATGGCACCACCTATTGACTGATCATCGAAACCAATCGTCTCGTCTCACTACTAAGCTAAGGCGGACATGTATGAGGGGATGACTGGCGAACATTGCAGATGCATCACATATAAGTTGCCTACAACAGTAGCTTTCCGCAAATTCTTCACCCTAGCACTGTTCAGGCTTGCTGCTTATGGACGCCCTCTACTGTTGTACCACACATAATATAGTGTGCTAAATGGCGTCAGGATTGTGGTGAGTTGATAACATGTCGTCAGCGTAGATTGACTCTAGCGCCCTCAGTAGGCTGATCGAATCGAACCACTTGCGTTGATCGAGTTTTCCGTGCAGACGATTATTGGATCTTGGCTTTTCGTTCCTTATTCTAATCACTGATCTCTGTGTAATAGCTAATAAATATAGATCAATGTTACATATAGAATAGCATTAAGAAATGTTCACCAATTTCAGTTTTTATATTTCTCATTCCAATAGAATAGTAGTAACAAAGCGTGCGCATGCGCAGAAATGGAGGCTTTGCGATTTTTCATTCCACTGGACTAACAATAACAAAGCCCACGTATGCGCAAGAATACGCTGCCACGCGGATATAATAGTGAAGCTTCGCGCTGATTAAATAAAACCTGTGCAACGGTCGCTCTTGCAATGCTTGCGATTACTCGTGTGCGTCCGAGTCGGCTTGTCGTGCCCGGAGACAGATTCAACTTCAAAAGAAAATGCAGAGTGGATATTACGAGTACCTCAATAGAGGGATCGGCATGCTGAGTACAGTGATACGGCCAGCACAATGGAGCGATGCCCTCTAACAACAGGCACAGGCACGATGCCGGTCAATCGAGTCTATACGCTATCGATATACACACTTAAGTTGACGATCTTCCGGACGAGAGAAATCGACAAGCATCTTTTCTGTACTCTTCAGGAACGTCGCTTTCATAGCCTGACTGCGTGGCAGTGTGAAATGGTGATAGTACGACAGCATGACAGCATGACAACACGGCCGCATGAGAGCATGACAGCATGACAGCATGTCAGGATCACAGTGTGACAGCCTGACAGCATGCCAACACGGCAGCATGACAGCATGACAGCATGCCAACACGGCAGCATGAGAGCATGACAGCATGACAGCATGTCAGGATCACAGTGTGACAGCCTGACAGCATGCCAACACGGCAGCATGACAGCATGACAACACGGCAGCATGACAGCGTGACAGCATGGCAACACGGCAGCATGACAGCATGACAACACGGCAGCATGACAGCATGACAGCATGCCAACACGGCAACATAAGACCATGGCAGCATGACAGCATGACAGCGTGACAATATGATAGCATGAGAGCACGACAGCATGCTAACACGGCAGCATGACAGCATGCTAAGATGGCAACAGGACAGCATGACAACACGGCAGCATGAGAGCATGACAGCATGACAGCATGTCAGAATCACAGCGTGACAGCGTGACAGCATGCCAACACGGCAGCATGACAGCATGACAACACGGCAGCATGACAGCATGACAGCGTGACAGCATGGCAGCACGGTAGCATGACCGCATGACCACACGGCAGCATGACAGCATCACAGCATGACAACATGATAGCATGACAGCATGACAGCATGACAGCACGACGGCATGACAGTATGACAGAATGCCAACACGGCAGCATGACAGCATGACAGCATGACAGCATCACCGCATGACTTCATGACAGCAGGGCGGCATGGCAGCATGACAGCGTGACAGCATAACAGCGTGACAACATGGCACCATAATGGCATGACAGCATGACATTATGACAACGTGACAACATAAAAATACCACAGCGTGACAGCGTGACAGGATGACAGGATGACAGTGTGACAGCGTGACAATGTGACAGCGTGACAGTGTAACAGTAAAACAAAGTGACAGCATGATAGTAGGACAACGTAACAGCGTGACAACGTGACAGAATGACAATGTAGCATAGTCACAGCATGATAGCATGAAAGCTTCCCGGCGAATCCGCATGAGATCATGACAGCATGACAGCGTGACCGCATGACAATGTGACAGCATGACAACATTTCTGCAAAATCGTACTGAGCAATACAACGCGTAAATGTCGCCATGCGTCACAGTTAACATCAGATTCTGACGGGGTGTTGGTAGAAATACTGACGTTCCTGTGACGTTGGGTTTAGCATGACGCCGACGTTTTCGTGACGCTGACTTCAACACGACGCTGACTTCCCCATGACGCGAATTCCTCCATGACGCTCATGTATTCTTAAAGCTGACGTCAGCGGGGCACTGTTGTCTCCCTGACGCTGTCACCTACATAACCACGACGGTTCGATCATGTTGTCGTCATTGTGACGTGTAAGGTCATATTCGGTATTGCGCTTAGAGGTACGATTAAATAATGTAACACCGATCAAAATATTGAGTGCAAGGAATAAGCATGTATACAGAGTTCACATCATTCACAATGGTCCTAAATAATTAGGTTTACACTACTGCTAGCTCGCACCATCCTTCTGTACAGAGCTATACAACCCTGTTTTATTCTTACTCAGTATCGTGTTACTATACTAATCATCATCCTATCGTGTCATTCCAAAATGGAGTCGCGTGACCACATAACACGGCATCATAGATCAGCGCCGTATAATCACATCTTGTTGTATGGTAATCCTGTACGGTTCCGTGTCGCTGTAGCACTTCTAGTTGGTGATGTTTAACCACGTTGCATGCCATCGTTGCCAGTATCGTGTCATGACGTTAGATGGACAATGGCGCTTACGTCACCATGCACCCTCCGCTCCACATACAATGCTAGCAGGTGACAAACGTTACAGCTAGGAATATCTCTTCTTGAGAAAGGAGAGTATAGACACGATGCAGACGACTGCAGTGCAGCCGGGCCACGCCATTGCGTTGACGACGACCGCCATGCTAATTGTCCGATGGCGTATTACACGCGTGGAGTCGGTTTCAGCCCTCAGGCACGCATAGCTACGCCCTGCCACCCCGTGATCCAGCTGGTACTGTAAGATGGCACTCTTTTTCCACGGACTGTAGGAGCACTGCAAAGTAAAGAAACAAGTAGAATATGCGAGTTAATATGATTAATTATACCCCGTACAGAGCTGCAAAATTTGATATGGTATTAAACTAGCGCGAGCCAGGCCCGGGCCTGACGCGCGCCAAATCGTAGCGTACAGACTGCATATTTGATCCTACATTAAATGAGTCATCAGTTCTCTGCTCAGCTAGCCACGTCACCCCGCAGACAGCGAGGTACACCGAGCGTACAATTAAGTGACCGAAATAAGGCTATGCATGCGCATGCGTATTACGATTTAGCAGCGGGTCTGGCCCCGCTTGTTGCGTACAGACACACGCATAAGCGGGCTATCTTATCCCGAGCTAAGTTATCCCGAGCCTGGCCCTCCTTCATTTGCGGGGCCAACTTGGAGCGGGCCAGCGCGTATTTCGAGCGGGATAGCGCGTATTAATTAGTTAAAGTTAAATCCTTCCCGCGCCTATATGGCGCATAAGGCGGTGCCTATCTCCGTTTCAGTAACCCTGAGGCCCCGCAGCTGCTTTCACAGTAAATGCTACAGTATGAGGTTAGTCCACTGGTAGCACTGAGAGTTAACTTGCCACACTCTATCTCTATTTGCTGAATGCTGGCAGAGAAGCCGTGGGTACCATTTTTCAAGTCTTTGGTATGACCCGGTAGGGAGTTGAACCCCCGGCCTTCCACGTGCGAGGCGAGCACTCTACCATTGAGCCATCGCTATAGCGCGTGTACACACCGCAAAAATTTGGCGCGGGCCTGGTGCGCGCTAGTTTAATACCATATCAAATTCGTAGTCTGTACGGGGTGCATGTTAATATAAAATATTATATATCAATTATTATTATTATATATATTATATAATTAATTAATTAATTATAATTATTAATTATAAACGTTACATATCATGTCGCGAGATCTAAGCAGTATGCGAAATACATGATAATCTGACATTTTACCGATGCTTGAAAGAATCAGCAACAAATTACATGTACAGGATGAACCCTGTCGGGACACAATATACATTTATACCTATTGGGTCGGGTACTCCTACGAGAGAAGGAGGAAGAGAAAGAGAGGAAGAGAAAAAAAGAGAAAGAGAAGAAAAGGGCGAAGATAGCAATGGGTTAAGGAACACACTAGGCGATTTTTCAGGCGATTGAGTCGGGCGACTGAGTTTGTCAATCGCCTGACAAATCGCCTAGTGTGTCTATAGTGAGTCGCCGGAGATTTTCGAGTCGGGCGACTGAGTCGCCCGAATCAAACATGTCTGATAAAATCGGGCGATTATTTGAGTCGCACGACCACAATCGGCTAGTGTGTCCGGGTCGGCGAATGAGTCGCCCGAATGTACAATTCATCAGCCAATCAAACGGTGCCATTTTCAATCATGTGACTATCAATCTAGGTGGCGCGAGTGTTTTAAAGTTGCAGCGGGAGAAAAATCGCCGATGAATCGCGCTGAAAATCGCCTAGTTTGTCCACTCAGTCGCCCGACTCAGTCGCCTAAAAAATTGTCTAGTGCGTCCACAGATTAAGGCTATAGGCCACCAGCCCTCGCCATGCTCATGAAACCATCCATGGTATCAGACTGGAGCAACTAAACTCATTGTTTGCGTTTAATACGGCCTCGTCATCGTTTTATTTGCCCGGCAAATTCTAATGATTTATCTAAACCCAGGGTTAGACACAAAACATTTTAGTTCATTAGTCCACAGGACTAGTAAAAGAAAAAATGTACTAGTTCTTCCAAGATTCTACTAGTCCTGCCGAAGGACTCTTACTAGGCGCAGAGCGACGAGCATTGTGATTTGCCAAGAGGTAGGTGGGGTAGGAGGGTGGAGCCCCCCTTCTGCTGGGGGTACAGGGGTTCTCTCCCAGGGTATAAGGGGTGTCCCCCCAAAGGTTTTGTAAAAGACATTCAATTGTATAAAATACATGTAACTTTGATATGGATCATAAGATTAAAATTAAAATTAAATAAAATGTTAATTCGAAAATAAAATTTCGGCCTCCTTTGATGAGGAATCTGTGGATCCGTCACTTATCACAGCAAGGAATTTGGCTTCATTTATAGCTACAAACTGTTTCCGGCGCTTTGTATCGGCTATCGCCATAATGAACCTCTGGAAGGCCTTGTCGGTGAGGTAAGTGCTGCCGACATCTAACCCCTTGGCCTTGTCAAGCTGGCACAGCTTTATGGGGTGCCAACGGTAAAAATATTATTTAGCACATTATTTAGCGTATAAAGTCATTATTTACTAAATAATGCCTTTATATAATAAATAATATATTATATAATGAATTAAAGATAATATAATAATACATCATTTAACATATAATATTATAAATAATACATAGTTAACATATACGTTTGATCACGTGTAAGGGGGCCACACCGCGACGCATACCTTAAGACCAGGCTAGTATAATTATATAATACATTAATACAGTTAATATATTATATAATTATATAATATAGTTATATAATTATATAATATATTATATATTATATAAATATTATATGGCTAAATAATTGTATTATATAATATATAATATATTATATAATAATATACATTTTTACATATACATAATTATATAGATTAAGATAATACATTCATTTAACATAATTATTATATAGTATATGAATTATATTTATATTATATATGTTAAATATTAGTTATATGTTAATAAGTATTATTTAGCAAATATACAATCCCTCTTTGACATATAATATATTATTTATTATATAAAGGCATTATTTAGTAAATAATGACTTTATACGCTAAATAATGTGCTAAATAATATTTTACCGTTGGCACCCCATACAGCTTGACGTAATCGGTGTAGGGCCTGCCGTTTTTTTTCTAATAGCATGTGCATTTCTAATGGGGTTTGCCATTTACTAATCGCTGGATAGATGGCGCGCGTGCACTGTCCGGTATCACTGCTAAACAATGGCGTCTAGTTACGAAGGGAAAAACCGTAAATGAATTAAAATCAGAGTTGCAAAGTAGAGGTGCAAAGACATCTGGGAGGAAAGCTGATCTGCACGTACACGTTCGCTTGCGTGCGTGTGCACGTACACGTGGGTGCGTACGTGCGTGTGCACGTACACGTGTGTGCGTACGTGCGTGCGTGTGCACGTGCGTGGGTGCGTGTGCACGTGCGTGGGTGCGTGTGCACGTGCGTGGGTGCGTGTGCACGTGCGCGTGCGTGGGCACGTACACGTGTGGGTGCGTGTGCACGTACACGTGCGCGCGTGCGTGGGCCCGTACACGTGTGTGCATGCGTGTGCACGTACACGTGCGTGCGGCCGTGCGTGTGCATGCACGTACACGTGCGTGCGGCCGTGCGTGTGCATGCACGTACACGTGCGCGCGTGGGTGCGTGTGCACGTACACGTGCGTGCGTGCGTGTGCACGTACGCGTGCATGTGTGCGTGCGTACGTGTGCACTTTCATCACCTCTTTTGATCGCCACACACCATTTCAATCTCAGTTCTGGGTCACTTTGGAAACTATGACCTTCTTTATTGTTACATTGAGGTACAACACAGTAATCAGGCATCGCAAAAGCAACTATGAAAGCCACTATAATTCACGGAAGTAATGTATACCGGTCCAGACCGGCACGCCATCTTGCAGTGAACTGATTGGCTAACCTCATTAGGATATTTAGTTTTGCTATTGTTGCCTTGTTTATTAAAGTTAGTGTTTTTGCCCCCACTGTTTCGTGAACACGCATGGTCCTTTCTTTTTGCTAGGATCTTTGTGTGCATCTCGGAAGCATCATGCGCTTTAACAGTCTCCAAACGATAGTTTGTAGTGCCGGTGAAAAAACTACCAGACATACAGCCGGCACCACAGATCATACCCTTGGCTGGGTCATACTCTAGCCACGGGTATGACGATTTCCACGCTAGCTGGAACGCACGCATCCTTTTCGTCTTATCATAGACACGCTGGCCATCTAATTTCTCCTCCTGCGATTTACGTTAGGGAGGTGGAGGGCGAGCGCCGTCCAAAAACTTCCACATAACAACCTTGATGTTAGTATTATACTATTGGATAAGGATGTACCCGTACCTACTATACTATTAGCTTCACTACTATTTGTATCGACTGCTTCAAGTAACACACGCATGCGATGTGGTTGCGATGTAAATACCTCACTATGAGAGCGTTTTAACTGATTAGTTGCGTCATTTCTACAATCAGACCTTTTGTTCTATGTCAACAGCTACTGTCAAGCGATCGATCGGTAGACTGGGTTCGTGGCCCCATTGTTTAACAATGTTTGTACTGCCGTAGGGTCTAGCGTGCTTAGAGCGTGCAGAGCGTGCTAGCGTCTACTTGTACTAGCGCGTCTAACAGGGAAAACTTGAATGGGGAAATGAGTTATATATAGCTCTTTGGATCATGGTTGAGAGACGCTGCCGCCCGGGACTATAGTAAAATCGATAGAACGGTGAGGGACGGGGAAAATATAACTAGTCCGCAGGACTAACGGCTATGGGGCATTTACTAGTCCTTCTGATTTTTTACTAGTCTCGGACTAACGGACTGGCGTTAGTGTCGAACCCTGTTAAAACCTGACCGCAATTTAGGTTGCTTGCCACTGTATTATATATATACGTCTGATATATATGTAAACAGGAAACTAATAGAAATGCTGAATATAGCAATGCGAATAAAATAATATAAATAAAAAGAGCATAAAAATAAAGGAGTTAATTAAGGGCTAAACGATCGAGTCGCGTGCGCTTTTCCTTTATTAAACCTCGAAACGTGATCATACAGAGAAGTGGCTCCACACATCCATACCTACACCTAACCCTAGCTATTATGACTGCCTAATAATTCCTTATCGTGCTATCCTGCACGCAACCCACCATAAACATTGCATATACAAGCTAGGTGTGGACACATAGACTGCGCATGTGCGTGTTTACAATAGGCAGCCGCGCCTAGCCACCGGATCCTTCTAGGAAGCCATTGCAAC